TTTAGTAAAATCTCAAATGAGGTTATTTTTTCGCGGTACCTAATTTAGTGTAGGAATGTTTTGAGATACGACTCACTGATCAGCGATCTTCATGGTTCATTATCGCCAGACACCCAAAATATAGAAAACTAACCGTAATGTCAAGTTCCGTTTGCGTTTTTCGACGGTCAATATTCCCGACGACACGCACATAACGAAAAAAATATTCTACCGAATTTAATGGTTTTAGGAAACAAAACTCGTTTCCGTGAGAAATTCCCTTGGATCTGAACTGTCAAATGTTGGTTTTTCCTTTCTTCCTAGCTATGACCCGTACTTCCACATCAATTAAAATTCTTCACCGACAACTAAATAATTACAAATCACTACCATTGCCATACACAAACACTGTTGTTGGCTCATTAATGAGAGAAATAAAATAACTACTCAAATTTGTAGGCTGTATTGTATTTGTAGGCACCATTCATCAATATTACTACGAATAAAGTTTTTTAAAAGAAACAATATTGTTCTAATATTACTAATATAGATTATCTAGTTATTAAATAAATTATATGTAAACAAACAAAAAGTATGGGTATTGTATATAGCTGATAAGTAAGGCTTGGATTTAAATAGCCTAAAAATATCAAAAAATACATTTAGATCTAAAAACTCAAAAATTGAGCTAAAAATAACGAAAAATGTAATTTCAAAAAATGCGGATCAACAAAACAATGTTATCATAAGATAAAAAAACATAATGATGATCGGCTATCTATATAATTTATGGAATTAAAGACCAATTGTTAAAGTTTTTAAATATACTTATTAATTAACGGCATTAGAAACACTGCAAAGCTAATAAGTAAAAGTGTCTATACCTTCACATAAATTCTTCCTTCTCATTCTTATACGAAATATTTTATAAATCATTTGACATACATTTAAAAAAGTTAGAAAAAATTGAATTAATAATAATCGAAGTATGTTATAGGTTATAGGAGTCGATTTTAGATATTTTATTTCAAATGTCCAATAATGAACTCTAAAACTTGTGATATTTTACTTTTTGAGTTTAGTAATTAAAACATCGAAAATTTACTTTTATACAGCCCACATTAACTTCTCTTCTATACAATATAGATAATAGGTGTTTTTACTCTCAAACCACAAATATTATTGGAAATACAAAAATTAATTTTCCATACTATTGATATTTTATACCCCCTTAATATTTTTTAAATTTTCATAATCAATATATATTATATATATTTTAATTTTTAAAAATTATTCTTTTTTCCTTGGTCTTTTTTTCCGGGATTCATAATTTATTGGTCATTGGCTAATAAATTGGTAAGCGTGACATTAAGATAAATTTGTGGATAGTTTTATTTAAAAACCAGATTACGTAATATTGTTTTAGTACAATATGTGTATTTAAAATATTATTAATACCCGTATTTTAATATTTTTTTCGTTATTCAACTAAAAGTTTAAGTAAAAAAAAATAATAATGCCCTAAAAACTTTAAAAACCTCGAAAAATTAAAAATCTTTAAAAAAAATAGTTCTTTGTTAGCATAGTGTGTACTTGATACACATTTATATCTTGAAAAGCATCGCGTCAAGAATTACAGAAAAAAAGATGCATTGAAATCCGAGAGTACTGATAACTAAGTTTAAGTTATAGCTCAAATAATAATAAATAAGATTAAATATACAATTTTTCTTTAGTGTTTATTATAATATTTACATAATCTAATATATTATAATACTATACAATAGACAATAGCTATACAGAGATTACAAACACAATCAAAATAATTGTTTGTATTCATCAAAAAAAAATTAAAAAAAACATATTTTTTTATTCAGATGCCAAGCCCACATATTTGTTTGAAATCTGAATAAACAGCTTACTAGGAACAAATTTGTATACAATATAATATATATTATATAAGGTTCAATATTCTCCTCAGATAAATTAGACTGATAATATAATAATACAAATGGCACACTATTTTCACTTAACAACTCTTTTCTTGAAGTGGTTTAAACCATAAAAGGAATATTACAATATACCGATGGTTACAACTATAAAAATAACGTATCACAATTTAAAATTTAGAAAGTAATGTTCAATGAAATTAAGTTTCTTTTATGTATAATGATAAAATAATAAATTATTAAATCAATTTCATATCTCCATATTAAATCAAGTGGTACGTACTATTTAATAAAACATAAATTACATTATTTGTATGTTTTAACAAATTAATTACATAAATTCAAAATATTGATATCATAAATCTATGGGAAGAAGGTACATTTTGTAAAGGCGATTTCAATTCTATGGATAAGTTACCTATATTACATTTTGAGCTAAAGTATTTATTTTGCCTGTCATTACATTTTAAAGCAGAGAAATGCCAATGTTGAGTGTAGTTTATGGTAAACTATCATATCTAAAGTTATTATTTTGATGGATCAAAAGTGGAAAATTTCTAATACTATTATATATTATATATATAGAAAATGAAAATACCTATAATTATAAATATCTATAAATTATAATTATAATTTTAACTGCGAATAATATTTCTCATTTCCTCCCCCTTCCCCATCAAGGGGCACCAAAACTTTTGGTATGGGCAGCTGCCCACCCTGTCCATAAGCTAGAATCGGCCACTGATGGCATAGATAATTTATACCTATATAACTATATTATTAAACAGTATAAGTTTATTAAATACTTTATAGGTACTATATTATTAAAAAATTAGTTGGCAACATTAACAGTCAATACAATTTTGCTAACAAAATTTGGTTAAAATTTAAGGATGAAAATGGTTTCAACAGGGCTAATATTAGTTATTACCAATAAATTTACATTACAAATCCACAATCTACCTATACAACCGTATAAGATTTAATTAAACTAGATTTTATTTTAAATAAAATTTATAATACATTCTACCTACTCAAAATATTGTATTAAAATTAAACTAAATGAAAAATATTGTGTAATGCTCATTGTGTTTGGATTTTTTACTGTAAACTGACAGGAACTCCGCCCTAACACCTGTCAACTTATTTCAATGGTTCTCAGAACAATGAAGTCACTTGTTTATCTTAAGACAATGGAGATTAAAGAGCATATATACGGGTACCATTTAGATTAAATGTTTAGGTTATTGAAATAGAATACCCCTGAGTATGTAGATCAATACTCAATAGACCATAAAAGACAATTTAATTTTTTTTAAGCATGTGCTATTAATTTTTATACAATATAAGGTGCCTATATAAAAATGAATAAAGTGATGAACAATATAAATATAAAATTATAAACTATAAATTATTTAATAGTTAAATGTTTAGACAAAATGATAAACATAATTACTAATTAATATTTATTAATAGATTCAAATTTAAATTTGAAACATTTTCTGTGATACCTACCATATAAAATGGAAATACATATTAGAAATAAATTAATGAAGTTTTTCAAGCAAATTAATTACATATAATATATTATAACCAGTGCTCAAATTGGGAAAAATTAAGTAGAGGAGCTTAATCTAACAATTTAAAAACTGCTTTCCATGGGCGCAATTACTCAACATAGACCTGTGGGGTTAGCAAAAAAATGCTAACCAAAAACCAAACAAAATACATATATTTGCATAGGTTCAGATATCCTATGGGAATCTGTAAGGGAATAAATTATTGTTCATTGCCACACCTAAAAAAATTTTATTCGGCAAACTGTTTATAGGCCACAATTAGTAATTTTGATTATATGTCCACATAATATTATTATATGTAACAGTGGATAAACTTGATGAGGGAGTCTATTTATGGAACTCTTCAGAACTTTATTTTAATTGAAATTAAAAGATCACGACACAAGGGGCTTTAGAGACAGCAAGGAGGGTTGTCAGAAATGTGTTAAGATAAAAATTAATTTAGCATCTAAATAGGTACAACTATTATTAGAAGGTGATATTGTAAAGGCTGTTGATTTGATAAGAATCTCATAAGAAGATATGGGAAAATTCTATAATAACCTTAATATTTTATAGGAGTTGATTCTAGAGAATTACGATGGAATGTGATTCCAGAAAGGAATGAGTCCACAAGAGAAATAAAAAGTATTACAATGAGCAACGTCAAAATCAATTGTCCTTTAAAAGGAACTCAATTTGAAATGAAAATTTTATATTTGTGTATTGACACTAATGTCACACAATTGAAAACAAGATGTGTAGGTCTTGGTCCAATAAATGATCTATTTGGTTTTATCTTACGACTTGGTGTAATATCTGATAAGTGATAACAAAATAAGTATGATTGCTAAACATTTGAGAGATGAATTTAAAGACTTTAATCCAACAAAACTTGTCGGGCAAAACGAAACTTATAAAATGTTGTTTGCTCCTGATCCTAAATATTGTAATAGAGGTTATAACAGCGCTTTTGAAAGTACTAAAATATGAATAATTTAAAATAATAATTCATTTACTAGTTTTTCTGATTTATTAACATAATTTTACTTATTCTTTACATTACTAGTAACTATAGCAGAAAGAACATTCTCAAAACTTTAGATTAATTAAAAATGTCTTCAGAAGCATTATATCCCAAATATATCCTAGTGACCTTGCATTAATTTTAATAGAAAATTAGCATTGTTGGTAGCATTTGCACAAAATCAAAACAGAAAAAAATTATTTTCATTGTACTTTGTATTTATAATTTTATAAATTATTAATATGTTAGTTTTACATATACAAAGTAACAGATTAATGTTTAGTAAGTTAGGTCGTAGATATAGAGCCATAGGGCTCCAATAAAATTGAATCTAGAGTCCTCATAAAACTAATCCCCGGTATTGTAATCCTATAGAATTATTTCCAACGATACAATATACATAATGTGATACTAGGGTAATAGTAAAAATATTAAGTTAAAGTTAGCACATGATAACATTTTTAATTTTGTTTTAGGAAATCTTACCTTTACGCTGTACAATTATCCTTAACAATGGTTTGGCTGTTAAAACCGCTCGTCCGAGATTATCATCGTTGTTGATTGGTAATAAATCTCCATCCTTTGGGTCCGTATACGACAGTACAAATGGTACCTCAATTAACTTATGTAGACGTTCAATAAGAATTCTGAATTGTTCGTAAGTGCCAACATCTGTTTTGGGTAACGAGATACGACGGAACTCGGCGTCAAACTGTAAAACAATATGAAACTGAGTAGTACCTAGGTAATTGTAAACAAGACTGATCTTTCCCGGTACCACTTACTTTGCTTTTGATTTCTAACTTTGTCATCATCGGACGATCTCGTTCCATCTGAATGTCAACTGCTAAGTGATGGTGTCATTATCATCACCACCTCCACGATGATGGACTCATCGGCCGTTTGAAACAGCTCGGAGGTTCAAATACACCTGTTGCACAATGTCATTATTTGTCAACTTTGGGGCGTAAAAAAAAAAAAAGACGTACCGAATATCGATCGAAGGGACACTATATCAGGGGCATTAGGTAGCTACAAGCTACTACTACTTACTAGGCAGTAAGCAGTGGGCGCTATAGTCTATAGACACTTTGCGACCGTCTCAACTTGAGGAAGGAAATAAAAACACGTAATTACGTAAAATGCTGTGGCTATAGACTACTAACTAACACGGAGTGGAATGATAACAGACGACCCAACAGTGCGGCTACAAGAGAAGATGTTAAGTTCCCGCCGGTTATCAATATCGTCTGGCTTGTATGTCTTATACTCTTATCACTGGGTACAACTACTCTACGTCCAAGGTCCAACTACATTGAATTCTATATGAACACTATAATATTCTGTTCTATAAATTCTGTATTTCTGTGGTACTAAATACTAATATAGTACTATTGTTCTATGGTACTATAGTACTTTAGTACTTTATCTGCAATAATTGCCTGCTGTATATATTTATATCTGTGAAAATACCTAATTATTTTTTTTTAAAGTTTTCATTCACATAGACTATAGTTTTTTAGGTAGTCTAACAAGTAACAGTATATGTGTTCATGGTCTGTAGCACGGTCTTAGATTATAGAGTATATCAGCATTTTTTTAGAACTTATTAAGGAATACCTACCGGTATACAACATTCGCACACACACTATATTCTTAAAAACAATTGTGCTGAGATGTCTGTCAAATTAATTGGTAGAACTACAAATTTGTATGGTAAGACGCTCTGGGAAATTTTAGGCAATCTCAGAACCACTGGTGTTGGTCGTCTGGTAACCAGGAACTCTTATGATCGATATGAAGAACCTAGCTTTTTCAAAGTCTTGTCCGTCGAACCCACTGCACAAATAGTAAGTAATCATTGCAATATGCAACTGCCAGTTGAAAATTACTTGTCTTGCATTTTGTTATAGGAAGATAAAGCAAGGAAAATAATAGTTCACGCTCAGAAAATATTCCGAGGTAAACACTACAAAGAGCCCGTTGAAATATACAGCGTATCGTACAAACCTGATTATCGATTAATACCCAAAGATGAAGAACAATTGTGGTGGGATCGATTGGCCAATTGCAAACCACGAGAAAAGTTTGTACCTGGATCTATTGAGTTACCACCACTCATGAGAGTTAGTATAAATGCTTTATTACTTATGTCTATTGTCTACTATTTGAATCAATAACACTGTACATTTTGTTTTACAGTTGGTATTAGAACGTGACAACAAAGATTCTAATATTAAATTGCAATTAAAAATTAGAGGTGGTCGAGATAATGTTGCTAAATCAGACATAACTAAAACTGCATCTTACGGTCCAAGTTTTTTCAAAAATCAACAAAGTAGTTAATAATTAATATGCATTGTATTTATAATTATACATAGTTTTTTTTTCATAAATATTAGAAGGATTTGTTTTTATTTTATTTGTAATTATTTCTAACGTCTATCATTTCAACAACATACAATCTTAATAATTCCAATTTTTAATTTTCAATTCTTGATGTGTGGAACTCTGGGATCATCTGGTCGGTAAACTGAAAAATGAAACAAAAATCAATAAATAATTACTAGCATATACTGAATATTGGTAATATCTATATTGTTTAACATGTTCGCTGCGTAAAACGCTAATTGACGTCATTGTACATAGTTTGCATATGCTGAATGATGCCAATTGGCGTCATATACCTTGTTATTTAATGGACAGAGGAACGATTTAACTTTTGGTTTTTGGTCAGTGTCTTCCATAAGCATTGTTTCATAATCAAGTGCAAACCGTACACTGATATTTTAATTTTTCAATTTTTAGGAAATTTTTTTTTAAAACTAGATATTTATCAACGTCACGACAAGTATACAAAAATATGATACGCAGTAAACGTGTTAAGTGGAATGAATTGGGTTGTTTTAAAAAATTATATTGGTATTTACTATTTTCATATTTCAGTATAATAAATTAATAAAAATATCACTAAAATTTGTAAGGTAATGAAAACCGGTGTATAGTGTTGGAAACTTACCATAATTGTTTTAAAAAAAATCATAAAAAATTTGTATTCATAAAATTTTTATTAGAAATTTGATTTTGAAAACTTTGATATGGATTGGATATCAATAGAAATGTAAACAAAGGAGGAAGAGGAGCGCTAGATAGGCAAGATATCGGCCCATTGAGTTTTGAGGATTTTAACAAGTTCTAAAAAGTTAATAGTCCGTTTTCCAAACAGACATAATATTTATTCCTTCATATTTCATTGTTCAGAGTTATGAATTTTCAAATATATTCGGTCATATATTACTAAGCTGGCCCATCAAGTTTAACTTGGTAACTCCCCAGTCGCTGGGCCCGAGGATGAATAAGTGCAAAAGACTTGATATATAATTTAGGGCATATCGGACATAATGTTGTCAAGGTGAAGAGTGGAGAAGAGCTATTAAAAGAGTAGTTGAGGAGAAGATTAGTTAATAATAATTTTATAATCATAAGTTAAACTTATCAAGTACAACTATACTATGCTTACAGAATAGTATTTATTATACGTACGGGTATATTTGAATTTATATTTCTTATTGTTTCCATCATTTTGTTCGTATCTATAAGTATGGTACATAATCAGCCCTAAGCCGACAATGCAGAACGGAGAACATATTGTAATCAATGGCATTTCATGCATAGCTTGTCGGAAAATGCCCTTGACTGCAAAAAAAATGATTGTTATAATTGGACGGTTTTTTTTAATTTAAATAATACTTACGTCCCGCTCCATATTTGTCGGGCTTGAGAATTGTTTCTATTTTCATTTTGGTGTTTCAGAGTAAAAAATATAATTTAAATCAAAAATAATTTTTGTGAAATTACTGTAAAAATTTCCCAATAAATTCTTATCAAATTATGTTCGTAAAGCTATCGCATGGAAAGTTGGCCACAACAACCTTGAGTTTTGCTAGATAATTGAATACATGAAATCACAGATTTCTATATATTACTAGATAGCGAACTCCGGTCATGAATTGAAGCTTCAAGGTCGGTTGGCAATTGTATGGTATTTCATATGACAAATAAGATGATATTATGATTTATTTTATATCGTATTTTATTATTTTTAAACATTAAGTTAAAAAAAAAAAAAAATATTATTCCTAATACATTTTGTATAATAAATGAAATGTTTTGCCAACCGAGAAAATGGCGGCCGTTCACAGCTGAGCTTCACTTGTAACAATGTACATTGTATAAGAGTTCCTTATCTAGTGTAGTATAGAAGTCTGTGCATGAAATACACGAACCAAATGATAATACTGGTAGCCCATCTGCAATCGGCATCAGCTGATAAAGCAGCTGAAAAAATTAACTTCTAGCGCTTGATGTCAACCACGGACTATGATTAACAGGACTGGAAACGAACAATAGTGCACTGTGTTATGACCTTAGATCATATACTATGGATGGAGCCACTGCGTATTATAGCAATACAAAAAGTTGAAGCCGATATTAGCGACGAGTCACCGAATTAGGTGATCGATATGCGCATGCGCGAAACAACTCGTTTAATATTAATATTATAATCACCAGCTGATAAATATGCGAGAGGTTGCGTTGCGCATGCGCATATCGAACACCTAATTCGGTGACAGTGTTGCCAGGTCAATAATGTAAATTTCACCAGGTATCTTGTGTAAAAATCACCAGAAATCACCAAAAAAAAAAAATCGATTTTAAACTAAATGATAAGGTTTTGATAATATAATAATAAAATAATTAATAAATAATGCATGAATAATCATGACAAAAGAAATTATTTATCTTTATTTTGGCATGCATTATGCATATAATAGTAATAACTAATAATGTTAATTAATTGATAACAATTAATAATTTTATAATATGATATTTTATAGTTTAAGATTATCAGACATAGCTCTACGTTATTACTTTATGAAAACACAATATTATTTTACAAATATACAAAAATATAATGTACAAAAATATAATATACAAAATAGTCAAAGTATCAGACTTAACTCATCGTTATTTTTATAAAAACACAATATTACATTCCAAATTTACAATAATACAATGTACAAAATACAATAGGTAAGTACTACAGTACCAAACAGCACCACTCATTAAGACATAATTTTTGGTCATTTATACAATATTATAGTCACACAGGAACTATACTCATATAAGAACTAAACCTAAACTAATATAAGTTTGTCAAATTTTAAAATAAATGCATACAAATATTATGGTTTAGCATACATTGCATTATTATGCTTCAATAACAAACTTTCAGAAATTTCATAATCATAACAATTTTGGTTTCTTATTTTGCTCATGAATTGTTTGGTGTGTAATAAACCACATAAAGTTTCAGTGGATAACCTATTCCTTGTTTTGGTTTTGTTCAGGTTAATTACACTAAATATCCGTTCTACACATGCACTGCTATGTGGAAGGTTCAATAACAATTTAACAAAGTTGTACAATTCGGGAAAAAGTAAGTTGTTGTCACCCCTTTTAACTTTTAAATTAGTTTCCAAAAATACAAAATAATAAATCTAAAAATAGTGACAGTTACAGATAATTTGTTGTGTTGAGTATAATTCTATAAAACAACTGATTGGAAAAAATGTTTTCAACTATTAATATCTTTAGCATGGTTTTATATGCAGTAATAGTAACACATAATAATAAAAATGTAGGACCTAAGATTATGTGCACTGAATTATATCTTATATAATAAAACGCTAATAACGCGTATAAGATCCGCGGGGAGCGCTCACGGCACTCCGCGTTTCTTCCATGACGACCAATCACAATACTTCCCGCGCGTTCGCTATAAATTCCGCTCGCTTACCCCCCATTTTCCTTATCGACGAATATTTTCGAACATTATTATTATTATTAAAAAAAAACCCGTGTTTTTCAATTTTTTGACGTGATAATAACGTCTTATAAATCGATTACCCCGTGACCGTCGGGCGGAGTGGGGGGACCCATTAAACGAGTAATTATTTTTGACGAAGTATAACTTAGCCGGTATTCGACTTAGAGACCCCGTACCAATGGGCATCTCAATTTTTTAGGCCCCAGATGAATTTTCAACATTAGGGAACCAAAGCCCCCACCCCCCCCACATTTTGAGTTGAGTATAACTCGGCCGGAATTCAAGTTAAAGACCTCGGACCAAGGGGGAACCCATTCTTTTTATGAATACTACCGTTTTCCGCTTTAGGGAACGGGGGCACCTCCTCCCCCCCTTTTTGGATTTTGCTTTTTTGATGGATTTTGGTCCGGGAGAGTACTAACACCCACCTCGCCAAGGGGAAACTCGGGGTTTTGAGTTTTTGATAGGATTTATTGGGATTTTCTTAAATATTGTTTTTATTGATAAGGAAAGTGATAAGAATTTTATTTTATCGCCGCGAGCACGGCGACGCGGCTTAAGAGTCATACATTTGCCTCGAAATTTCATCTGAATAGGTGGCTAGGTTGGTTAGGCGTTAGGATAGGTGACTCGAGGGTCGTGGGTTCAAAACCGCCGTCCGGGATTTTCGGTTATTTGCGGCGGCCATACTAAATCGAATTTCTTATTTTTGCGTTTTTTTTTTTCGTCACATTTATCATTTTTAACGAAAGTGTTAATTTTTTTTAAATTTGCATTATATTATTATATATATTATTATTATTCGTTTGACGATATTTATTGGGCAAAATAATTATTATAATTAACATTTACCGACGCACCTACATGTTTTTTTTAAATTTGCATTATTATATTATATATATTATTATTATTCGTTTGACGATATTTATTGGGCAAAAAAATAATTAAAATTAACATTTAATTAATACTTGATTTTACCGACGCACCTACATGTTTCTTTTATTAACACATTATAATAACGTATAACTAACCTACGTGTAGTACCTACTTGATATATTACAGTTTTTACGTGATTCCGATTTGGTTAAATACTGCTACAGATTATAAATACTATATTAAAAAATAGTACGACTATATTTGCCGTTTTTTTTCGAAAATTCGAGTCCCGGGGTGGAGTAGTGTGTCAGAAACGAGAGTAGGTACCGTGTAGGTATCGCTATATACAGGCATATATACATGCGCCTCGAGGTTCGATTTTTTTCGCAAATCTCGCGTCTTCGGACATGGTGGTCCGCTCAAACGCCCTTAAGAGTCATAGATTTGGCTCCTAATTTCATCTCGGTAGGTGGCTAGGTAGGTTAGGCGTTAAAACGGGTGATTCGACGGTCGTGGTTTCGAACGCCGGCGGGGCCGTGTTAAATCGAATTTCTATTTTTTGCGTTTTTTTTTTTCGTCACATTTATCATTTTTAACGAAAGTGTTAATTTTTTTTTTTAATTTGCATTATTATATTATATATATTATTATTATTCGTTTGACGATATTTATTGGGCAAAAAAATTATTATAATTAACATTTACCGACGCACCTACATGTTTCTTTTAATAATACATTATAATATAACTAACCTACGTGTAATACCTACTTGATATATTACAGTTTTTACGTGATTCCGATTTGGTTAAATACTGCTACAGATTATAAATACTATATTAAAAAATAGTACGAATGTAATATGACTGCTTCATTTGCCGTTTTCTTCGAAAATTCGAGTCCCGGGGTGGAGTAGTGTGTCGGAAACGAGAGTATGTGTAGTGTATTCATTTATAGATACCTACGTTTAATAGGATAGTAGTACATTTCAATAAAATTTGTTATTCACCAATATAATTATCTATTTGTTAATTTGACTTAATTCTCATAATTAAATAAATATACATGGAAGGTATATTTTAGAAAATATCCAATCAGAAAATTAGATTTTGTCGACTTATTTGTTATAACCGCGAAAACATAACAATGATTACATTGATTACAGTGAAGCCTAACATAAAACACCTGATAACTGTTCTCTATAATTATCAACAAATACAATTTTATTACCTCCTGTATACTTTTTCATATTTGAACGGCCGTTTCTAGCACTTTTCGCTGTAGGCGGATTGTCCGTTCGGGAATCGGATTTCACCCGAGATGACTGATAGCTAGACACTCAAACTCAGAATCCGAATTTCCGATTTCAACACACATACGAGAACCGGACACACACGCCCGGTGCATGGTCTGCGATCCGACGTAGTCGGATTGCCTACCTGACTAGCTACTTGCATACGAGCGACTTACACCCCCACTGCATCTGACACTCGGGAATCGACTTTCACCCGAGATGACTGATAGCTAGATACTCAAACTCAGAATCCGAATTTCCGATTTCAACACACATACGAGAACCGGACATACACGCCCGGTGCATGGTCTGCGATCCGATGTAGTCGGATTGCCTACCTGACTAGCTACTTGCATACGAGCGACTTACACCCCCAGTGTCCCCCACTGCATCCGACACTCGGGAATCGACTTTTACCCGAGATGACTGATAGCTAGACACTCAAACCCAGAATCCGAATTTCCGATTTCAACACACACACTCAAGAACCGGCATACACGAATGGGGCATGGTCTGCGATCCGACGTAGTCGGATTGCCTACCTGGCTGGCTGTGTCTTACGATCGACTTGAATCGCGTGACTTACGACTAGACACTCTTCCGAGTTCAAAAATTACCGCTTAAAAAGTGCTGCCAACACGACAAAACATAATACCCGACGACCCCCCTTCCCCCCAGCAGGCTTCATCAAAAAACCCAGCATAGCCGACAAAGATGCACCACCGCCCACACAGTCTTTCCGC